TGTATGTCAGTTACTCAAACCTGACAAGCGATTCCACCAAAACTTCAGGAATACATGTGACCTACAATTCGACACATGACTGTCAAGCTTCATGAGTCTAGCTTTAATTTCTTTCCAAATATTTAAAATTAGCATTTAGAGTTGTATGGCAGCTACCCGAAACTGTTAAGTCATTTCACCAAAACTTCAGGAATATGTGTGACCTGTAATTGGACACTCGACTGCCAAGTTTTATGAATCTAACTTTATTATTTTTCCAAATATTTAAAATTAGCTTTTGGAGTTGTATGGCAGCTATCCGAACCAGTGCAGCCATTCCATTAAAATTTTCAGAATATATATGAAGTTTAATTGGACACATCTTTACAAAAAGCTATTTAATATCTATTAGTTTTTGAAATTAAAAAAAAAAAAACTTTTTGAGTTGTACGGCAAGTTTGGTCGTATTTGCTTTATTCGTTTTTGAGGCATTAGTCGTGTAAAAAAGGGGTAAAGTTCTGTATACCAGCTCGATACATGGCTTATTGGTTATCCCAAAGTATATTTATATTAAAATTAAAGGTTGAAATTTGGTGTGCCCGACTTTTAAATGTTTGTGATTTTCCAAGTTAGCTGGCAACACTGCTTACAAGCGCTTTTTCAAACTAAACAAGCCCATTAAAATTACGCAAAGTCTTCTTCTACATCCATATGCATATATAATATAGATTTGTATTTAATTTAAAACTTGGAACCGAGTTTAAAATTAAACGCACATTAATAGTATTTTAATTTTACTTTTAGTTTGCAAACTTGGAAGCGAGTTTCTCTATTAAACGGAATTTATTACAAAAAAATTTTACCACATCCATCCGTATAATTTTTCATATTTTATTTTAACATAGAAAAGGTGTAACAGTTTAAAATCGAACCGTGGAGATTCAAATACTAATATATATACATTCGTACATATTATATACATATATATGAAGAAAACGTATACTTTTATTTATCTACAGTGGTCCCCGGATAAATGGGTTGCTTGATTTTTTGTTAAAGTTATAAAGGGATTAAAGGGAAAACATTAAAAACGTTTTAATTTTACTAAATGTGGCTTATATTACTTTTATTTTTCATAATTCGGTTGATTATAGAATTGGGAAATTTAAACATTCAACTTAACTCTGTCTCCGAGCAGTTTTGGCTTTATTTATAATTTTGATAATGTTAAGTTTTACATTACAACTTAATTAATAAACTAATAAACTTATAATTTTATATTTTTTAGATTTAAGGTTACTCACTATTTTACATGCAATCTAAAAGATTTGTAGTAATTTCAATGTAAGTTAATTAAAATCAAAAAGTCTTTGATTTTCTATAGATACAATCCTAAAAAGCGTTTGCAAGAGAATAAACATTTAATTTTTTGTCATAAGCTGCTGTCAAATTTGATTATTGAATGAAAACATTCAATCGAAATAACAAATCAATAAAGTTGAGTCAAACCAATGGTTTGTATTGTAGCACTTTTCCATTAAAAAAGTGAAAATATTGCTTTTAAATACAGTCTATGCATATACATATTTCGGATGAACGATTTATTTATGCAGTCTTTGAAATAACGCAAAAATTAATATAAAGAGAGGTTATAATGCCATGGAATTTACCGTTAGCTTTTTGGGTTTATAGAAATTTTAAAAAACTTGCGGTTTCGAAAATATAAGGCGTCAAAAATTCGAATTTTACAAATTTCAAGAGGCGATAACTTGAGAGGGAGTGCAGATGGAAAAAAAATTTCTTCTAACGAAATGAACTATTTGTTAATGTCTAAAAGCCCCTAAAATTCAAGCTTCTACAGGCTGGGGTCTAGAAGAAAAACGAAATCAAAAATTTGGAAAAAAAAGACTTTAGATAACGATAAATTTGAACGGCCATTTTTAGGTTTTTGGGGGGTATAACTTCTAGAGAGGGGATGATAGGTAAAAAAATTTTTCTATGGAAATAAGTTTCTAGTAAACATCTATGTACATATAAAATTTCAGCTTTCTATCTTCAATGGTGTAGAAGTTTTGTAAACAGGCACACGGAGAGAGTGAAACTAATAAGCACTTTTTTTCAAAAATTTTTTGGAAAAGTGCTAAAAATGCGCCTTTTTTAATTTCAATCAATTAACCGTAAAAATTTACATTTATTTTTGATTTAGAGTACTAAAATTTTGACACAAAAAGATGGAAAACTCAATCAACCAGAACGCATTAATTAAATGATTAAAATATTTAAATTTATTTTAATTTATTATATATAATTATATAATATTCATATTTTATTTATTTAATAAAAAAATCTAAAATGTATTTTATATACAGATAAATATTTGCTCTACTTTTAGTAACATTACAACGAAAACAGAAAGTAAGCGCAGTTCATAAGTCAGAGGATGACTGTAAATGTACATATATACATACATATATGAGTATTAATAATAAGTACTCAATACTCACTGACAAGTTATGGTTTTTTTGATTTTTGAAAATTTTAAAGTTTCGGATTTAATTTTGCTTTGTTCAAAGTTATCATTAAGAAACTATAAATAAATCGGAAAAAATAAAGCTTAACAAGCTTAGTTCAATTTTATAATAACAGCGTGTTTTTTTTTCTACATTTTCTTTTTTTTTCTTCTCTCTCACTTTTAATAAAAATCATAATAGAACATGCTTTTGCGTTCAGTAGTTATTTTTTCTTTGACGAATCAAGAGCAAATAATATTGCTAGGTATATACATATATATAAATAAATTTTGAAAAAGAAAAAAGAGGGGAAAACTTGTTTTAATTAATTTCTTTAAATACTCAGTTTTTTTTAACATTTATTTTGTTTTTATTGTGCACTTTCTTTTATTTATGTTATTTTATAGATTGAATCCGGCAACAATGAAGCTCTTAATTTTTATTTCAATTACGTTATTTCTTGGATTAGCTGATAGCGCCGATTTTGAGTAAGTAAAAAATTTATTTAAAAACATAATGAACTAAAAGTTAGTATTACTTTATTTATTTGGAATTTTAAACTTTTCGCTCTACAATATAAAATTGTCATTCAAATAGCAAACAATGTTCTTAAACTTAAATTTTGTAACGTTAAACTAAGGTCATAATTCAAGCGGAATACTTCATTTGTTATAGTATTTGTAAGCAATTTACTTTAAGTATTTCTCTAACGCAAAGAAACTGAATAGGATTTTTAAATTTTTTATTTCGGCATTGGCAAACTTTTATTTAACATTCGGCATTGGACAAATCTATCAGAGCGTTGCAAACAAAGCAGCAAACATGATAATGACTTCGAAGATAGTTCGCAAAAATATATGTATTTAACAGACGACGAATTATTAAAAACTGAAATGTTTCCGCAAGTAAATTAAATGTAATGTTAACTAACGAAAACAAAATTGAACCATATTTTATAATTAAAAATTATAACAATGCAATGTTATAATGGTATACAAATGAACAATCAAATAATTTTTCAGTCAATTTTATTTTTACTTCCAAAATTAACTCAACGATTTTAATTCTACGGAAAGTAATTTAATCAATTTCAGAAAAACATAAATATGTGGAGCAATTATTAATGTCGGTGTTAAATATTCTGCGGTTTAGGCAAACAATTTACTGTTGCATGTCATTGCCCACTATCAATTTTTGAAATATTATATTGAAATATTTTAAAATGTTTTTTTTTATAAACATTTTATATTATACAATATAATATCAAAATCTATAGCGAAAGGTAAATCACGATAAGTTCACCTTTTTTATAAATATACTAACAGAAACTAAAAGATATTTTTTTGTGTATATAAGTACATTCGATTAGTGTTATCGAAAAAAACCGATACCGGTCTGATGATACGAACACATTATTGTAAAATGTAATTATCGTAAACCGCTCGATTGGTATTGATATCAATGTTGATTTCATAAGAAATACTGTAGAAAAAATAAAAACAAGTAATTTGTAATTATAATAAAATAAATTCATTCTTAACACGTTTGCAACGAAATCGGAAAAAATTGTGTTTATTAACCTTTCCGCTCCTTGGCAGTGTGTCTGTTTACAAAACCTTTGCATCCTTTGATATGGAAAGTTGAAATTTTGTATTCAAATGGATCTTGCCTAAGAACCTATTTCATTAGAAGAAGATTTATGCCTCTCTTACAAAATTGTGGTTCTTCAAAGTCCAAAATGAGGTTTTTGACAAATTATTTTGTCGCAACAAAAAAAATATCAACTGGATTCTCCTATTTCAACATATTATAAATTGACGTCACAATAACCTCTTTGAAATTGTGTTTTATTTTAAATCCGGTTGTTTTCCTTTTAGTCATCTAAATTGTAATATTTTAAAGTATAAAATTTCTATAGACGGTAATAAATGGTTTAATTGAATAGAAGCAAATACTTTTCTTCTTGCTGCCCCTTCCAAATTTTTGTCTCTTAAAATTAAAAAACTTTCAATTTTTTGCACCTTATTTTACTGAAACGTTTACGTTCAAAGCAACGAAAAACTAACTTAAAGTTCTTTTCATCATGAAATATAGTTATTTATCTTACCTTATCTAATCAACTACAAAATTTAACAACAACGCTCCTTTAATTTTTTCTTTACTCATCTTAAACTATTTAATTATTATAATTTGGTATTTTTATGAGAATAGTTTAAATAATAACTCATACTTTTTGAAAGGGGGTTTTTCTGGCGGAATATGCTTCTTCAAAAAGCATAGGTTTTATGCGAACTTATATATCTATCGTTTTCTCACCTATTGGTTAATTATACGAAAATAGAACAATACAAATAATTTTTTGCTGTCATTTACGGCATTACGGTCAAAGGACCAACGTATTATTATTATTATTATTATTATTATTATTATTATTATTATTATTATTATTATTATTATTATTATTATTATCATTATTATCATTATTATTGAAATAAGTAATATATAATCATATAAGATTCATAATAATTTCATAAGATTTTATTAAATAAAAATATTTCTACATATATATATACATGTAGCTAAATATTTTATCTTCTTAAATATTGCGCTAATTTATGTACAGATTCCATAAGTGCCGGAAATACTGCACTAACTGATATATTAAGTAATTTATCAAATTCTTCAATAACTTGTTCATCCGTCAAATATAATTTAAAATTTTCAGCCAAAATCAATACACTTTTTTTACGTTCTCTTAATGGGAAATTTGATAAAAACGATTCTGATAATTGATCAAAAGTATTTAAAATATTATTTGCATGACGTCTTAAACACAGCAAGCATATAAAACAATAGTTTCGAAATTTCATATAATATTTTGATTCAATACCACCCATTGCTTCAATCATTTCTTTTGTAAATTTAATTGGTGGTGCCATAGGTTTAGGATCTTTACCCAAAATATAACTAAAATCAATATGAAATAATTTACCATCTTTAGTTAACAATAAATTATCAAAATGACGATCACCCAAACCCAATAGATATGTTATAACACAATAACCAGCACAACTTTTAACAAAATTCTTTATAACATTAGCTTGTATTCCAAATGGTCCAGATTTTGATGGATTATAATAACGTAAATAAGTTCGAATTGTATTATTATAAGCTAATACTTCTGCAATTGTAGATGCATCAATAAATTCTAAAAATCCAAAATTAGTACCAGTTACTAAAATTTCATATGGTGTTAGCTTTAAATCAATATTATTGTTTAATAAAATAAAATTAATGAATTTTATTAAATGTGATATTAATTGATTTTGTCTTAAATCTTCTGCTTTCTTAAATATTGTCATATATTTACCACTTTGAACTGATTTTGTATTAAAAATTAATTTAATTGGCATAGATACACTTTTATAAATTTCAATATTTTCATCAATTCCATGAATTAAAATCTCTGGATTCAACGGATGTGGTGTTTCAGGAAATATTTTCAAATCATAATAATTTAACAAATACCTGAATATTTCAATTTTTTTATTTCGACTGCCATTTTCTCTAATAAGAGTTTTACAAATTATTTGTAAATTTGTTATTAATTTTTGTTGCATAATTATATTTTTAAATATTAAATTTTGATGTAATTTATCGGATTCAAGATGCATTAAAAAATTTTCTAAAACGAATTTGTATATACGGTTGTGCTTATTGTGAACATTTCCTGTTTCAACTATTAAATGCCAATAAAAATAATTTGCTAATATATAATTGCCACATGCTCTTTGAATTAAGAAATTAATTAATCCAAGATACACTCTTTTTTCGTAAATATCATACTTAATTGATTGGATTAATTGTGGTAAATATAGTAGAAGTTGTTTATCTGTAAATTTTTTCAATTTTTTTAACAAATATAATTTTATTTCAGAACTTTTAAAATTATGATTGAGAAGCTCAACACATTCATCTAAATTTAAAGATTTCCAATGGTATAATATTCTTAAAGCTTCGATACTATCCGATTTATTTTCCCAATCGACTGATTTTAAAAGTTTTGTAATTGAATTTTTTTTATATTTCAAATAATTTCTAAATTTCCATATTAAAACTTTTTCGCTTTCAACAAGAACGAAAATTGATGGACGCCTTAATATTAAATTTAATTTATTTTGAATGTCGTTTGAAGGAAATTCTACAAAATCATTATTGTGAGGACTATCTCTTTCAAATTGCTGTGATTTATACTGAATATTATATAAATCTAAATTTTTTCTCTTTAACAGCAACTTTGTATTCCATTCTTTTAGTTTTTTTATCCAATTGCAATTTAATGAAAAATAGCAACAACATATTTTGAATGTTATTTTTAAACATTTGGAATTTCGAATTATATTTATTTTTATTGGAAAACAATCCATAAAGAGCACCAAGTTCGGATATTTTAATTAATTAAAATGTTATTTTGAAAATTCCTAAAAAGCAAAGATTAGTATAAAGAATTTGAATTTAAAAATATTTATTAAATTTTTTTTTTGTTTTTTAAAATACTGACCGACAAATTTTATTTCCATTTCATTCGAAAAAATTAATGTGACTAATTTATTTATATTTTTTGTCATTTCCCAAACAAAAAAAAGTATAAAATAAAAAGGTAAACGGAAACAAAAATGTAGAAAGTAGGAAATATCGAATGATAGTTTCCCTTTTTCCTAAAATTCGTAAATAAAAAACAAGAACACTCGTTTTAAATTAGTTAACAGAATTTCGAGAGAATTTTAAATTAAAATTAATTTAATCGAAACTTTCAGATCTAATGACTTTTGAAGTTATATGCAGCATAATATCAGCTTCAATTACAAGATAACCAAAACTAAGATAACGAACCAAAACTCATTTTCTTTAATTTCATGCATTGTAACATATTCTCTTAACAACACTTGATTCTGTGTGCAAAACTATGTTTGAATAACAAACATGAATCGTTTTCTTTTATAATTATAATTTGATAAATCAAAACCTAACTATTGTACAGTAATCCCCCCTATAACGCGGTACTCTTACAACGCATTTTCGTAGTACGCGATTTCAGTCACTCGTATAACGTGTGTTTTCCCTCATATAACGCGAGATAGCTCCGACACCGAATAAACATGTACTAAAACAGTTTTTGGATTTATTTAATTCACATATGCACAAGTTTTTTTAATGAAATGTTCTTAGTTTGATTTTAATAAAACGCACATACATATTTCGTTCATACCATAGTTTTTTCTTAAGATTCGATTTAAACCCCCTTTAACGAGAAAAGTTAAACGTGAATCATTTGTACATAACGCGTTATACGGGGTCATACAAGCGCGTTATACGAGAATACTCCTACAACGCGTTTTCCTATAACGCGGAACGAATCTACCGCGTTATAGGGGGGATTACTGTATTTACACACCAAAAATTGTCATGGAGATTGTAATCAAAATTTTTAAAATGAAAAACAATCGAATAAAATTACGTTTGAAAAGAAAAAAAGTGTCTACTTCGACTGAATAAAATGTTCTAACTAATACAAATGATATCATGGTTTTCAAACACACAATTACGAAACTAAGCTGTTCAAGCTTACTATTATTTTCTTTCTCATTTCTTTGTTTTTTTTTTCAATTATGTTTTGTTTTTAAGTTGAATGCCAAAACGAATATAAACAAACTTGAACTAGATTTTCGTTCAAGCATACATATGTACGTATATCCCATACATGTATGAAGGTAAACTGAAAAAAATCTATAATTCTAAGTCAAAGAAAATAAAAATAATCTAATTTTTTCAGATTTTCCTTTGGAATGTAAATTTCTAAATCTTAAGAACGTGCATTGTTCTATAAATTTGATTTAAGATTTGAGATAGATTCATTTAGAGTAATTTTCTACCTAAAATTTTATCTTTTCGCTTTAAAATATTGTACCTTTAACCTTTTTAGAACTTTTCCAAAAAATTAAAAACAAAGTGCTTATTAGTTTCACTCTGTCCGTGTACATATTTGCAAAATTTCTAGACCCTTGAAAAAAGAAAGTTGAAATTTTATATGTACATAGATCTTCACCAGAAACTTATTTTCATAGAAGAAAATTTTTACCTATCTCCCACTCCACTAAAAGTTATGCATAAATCAAAAACGGCATAATCGTTCATCCTAAATATATGCAATCCTAGAAATAGTTCCGTACATGAATGAAAATAATTTTATATCATAGATTGTTTTTAAAAGAAGTATTTTCACTTCTTTAAGGGAAAAGTGCTACAATACAAACCATTGGTTTGACCCAACTTTATTATTAAAGGTTTTTAAAAGTATTATATTCATAGAGATTTAATTCATGTAGTGATCCCTTTTATTGTCTGCATTATGTTATGTATGTAGCTTAAATTTACCAAGGGTTATCACTAAGCAAATAAAGTAGTATAGTTTGCATTTAATAAAATTATTTCTAAATAAGTAATGAATTACTTTATACATAATGTTATCGTATGTTGAAAACTGTCTGCAAATTATTAAATATTTTGATAATTTTTATTTTAGCTCATATTTTATCACAATTTTTTTTTCAGAGTATTTCTTTATCCAAAACAATATTCGATTGTGTTACAGTACTTGTTTAGTACTGTACATAGATATATAAAATCGATGTGTATTTTTCTCAGGGACGTATGGCTTTCTTTGATTGTAGGTTTCTTTTTTAAAAAATTCTAAAAGTAATTTTCCATCTTTGGTTTATTACTTATTTGATATTTTTTGTTATCATAATTAGAGCTTCTACCAAAGTTGAACTTAGTTATGTGCTGTGTCAATAATAATTTTATTCATTCCTGTATAATGAATAAATTCAACGCTGCACGTTATTTTAAATTACCTATAATGTTAATGTCATTATAATGTTATGTGCACGAATTAAACTTACTCTACGAAAAATATGTATGATAGCCGCCGTATACATGTTTTTGATTATATTGCGTTAAGCGGAAAAAATTTTTTATAACACTTTTACAACAGGAGAAAAAATTTAAACTAACTTTATTTGTTAAAATCTTAAATACATATGAATATACATATGCACCTATTTGTAATAAAATTATATGTTGAAATATAATTTATTAAATTAAATATGAATTAAATTAAATTAAATTTGTACTGCAGATTTTTGAAGTAATAACGACGATATTTAGTTTATATATTTACATTAATTCCGGTATAAAAAGACTTAATTTCAGGCGAGCGAGCAATATATAATTCATAATATCCAATATTTACTTTTTATTCAGGACACAAATTGTTTGGCTGAATCATGTGCACGGAAATTCGCGTTAATGCCCAAATCAATAGAGAAGACGAATCTAAATTCTTCCAATATTGCATTTTAATAATATATTCTTTTAATTCCTTGCTTTTATATACATTTAATATTAAATGTTGCTAAATATTCATGTAGTTTTGTTATTGAATACAATTAGTTTTCGTATTCTGCTCAAACATAATATTTAAATATTAATAGTGGCAAAATATTCTAATTTAAATTTCTAATGCTTAATTATTGTTGTAAAATCAATTAGACGCTTTGTCATTGACAATTTTCATATTTACATTTATTTAATTGCATTTTTCTTACACACGAATGGTAAACAAATAAAATGACTATTATCGATATTTTTATTTATATGTCTTAAGTCAATTACATAAACAATTTGAAAAGAAAAGCCGTGATATGAAAGGGAAATTGAATATTGTCCATTCAAAATTTATGGAATATTTAAAATTGAAATAAAAGTTGTCTGTGCTTTTGATACCGAGAGACCTGAATTTGAAATAAATTTTTATTGACCAGGATAATAAACAGCTTGTTATTCAAGTTGGAATCAAATTTTTCTCGATTTTTCAAATAAAGGAAACAAAATTAATATCGCATGAATAATTTCATGTGAATTAGAGAAAGTTTAATAAAAAATTTATCATTTTATTTCTTGTCAAAATCTTCATTCTTATCTTTATTGCATTTCCGTTGATTCCTGAATACTGATACACCTGATTCATATCTAATATATTTATATATATTATGATATTGTACGTAAACAGAAAATATAGATAAACATCGTAATTTTTAAAACTTTTGAAAAAACACTAAAATAGCAAACTTGACGTAAAATTCAAAAGTTCTCTTTCATTTATTTCAAGCTCATCTAGTAGGAAACAAAATGGGAAATAAAACAAAATTAAATATATTTTGTTTTTTTTTAATTGTTATTACAAAATAGTACTTACATGTACATAGGTGTACAATAATATTACGGGAATCTATACCAAGTCTATACTACGTCAATTTTTGTGAAAATTTTATACTGTTTACACAGTGAGAAAAACAAAATATAAATTTTATTAGTAAAATGGAATCGAAGACATTAAAAAGTATTTTTAGTTTAAGTTGTTTCATGACAATTTTAATAATAATTTTAATAACGGTGAACATAATTTTAATACATTACATACGTAAACCTGCTCATGAATTGTAAATAATTAAATATATGCACTTGAAATTAAATAATTTATTATTGAGTTAACTACGAAATGAATAAAATTTTGTTTTTTTTTTTACATCTTTTCAAATAGCATCGTGTATGGATATGAATGTAAGCAAAACAAATGCGTTAAAATTGAATTGGATGAAACGAATTTCGAGAAAGCTGTAAGTCTTTCTGTATGTAGAATATTTTGTGGAGAAAATATTGGTACACTATGGCCTAAACCTTCAGGAGAAGTGAAATTGGATACCTATATGGCTCACATAAATTCAAAAAGGATAGATTTTGATTTTCCAAGAATTGAAGGACATTTAGAAATGTGGAAAGAAAGCAAAGAGCGTTTGATGAACCAAATTCATGCACAAGTTCCAGATTTAACCTTATTAAAAGATGAAGGCAGATTATTAAATATCAAACTATTGGTTGAAGATGACGCAACACAATTAACAATGAATACAGATGAAAGCTATACTTTAAAATTAAGTGTAGGAAATAATGAAGTTTTTGCAGAAATTAGTGCTAAAACATATTTTGGTGCTAGACATGGATTAGAAACATTGTCTCAATTAATTGTTTATGATGACATTCGTAGACAAATACAAGTTCCTGCTGAAGCTGAAATTCATGATAAACCTGCATACCCGCATCGTGGATTGTTATTGGATACTTCTAGAAATTATTTTTCTGTTGATTCAATCAAAAAAACTATTGGTAACTTAATTAATTTGAATATTTTAGTACATTATTTTATTTTTCATCAAAAACTTTCCATATTTTCGGCTTACCACAGAAGCTTTAACAATAATCTTAATTATTTTATTTTTAGATGGCATGGCTATGACAAAATTGAATACATTCCACTGGCATATAACAGATTCACACAGTTTTCCATTAGTTATTAAATCAAGACCAGATCTTTATAAATTGGGAGCATATTCTTCACGTCAAATATATACACCTGAAGATGTCAAAGAAATTGTTAATTTTGCTCGTGTTCGTGGAGTTCGTGTTATTCCTGAATTTGATGCTCCAGCCCATGTTGGTGAAGGTTGGCAGAAAACGAATATGACTGTGTGTTTTGGAATACAACCATGGAATCAATATTGCGTTGAACCACCATGCGGCCAATTGAATCCAACTATCAGTGAGTTATATGATGTTCTTCAAGATATTTATAGAGAAATGTTAGAAATGTTCCAACATCCTGACATATTCCATATGGGAGGAGACGAAGTATCAAATACCTGTTGGAATACAAGTGAACAAATTCAAAATTGGATGAAAGAACGTCACTGGGAATTGAATAATGATGGCTTTGTTCAGTTATGGGGTCATTTTCAAGATAACGCTTTAGAACGTGTTGATCGAGTATCCGAAAGTAAATTACCAATTATAATGTGGACTAGTCATTTAACTGAAAAAGAATATATTGAAAAGTATTTGGATAAAAATCGTTACATTATACAAGTTTGGACCACAGGACAAGATGTTAAAGTTAAAACATTATTACAACTCGGTTACAGATTAATTTTAAGTAACTATGACGCTTTATACTTTGATTGTGGGGGTGCTGGTTGGGTCAATGATGGAAATAATTGGTGTTCACCATATATTGGATGGCAAAAAGTATATGAAAACCGCCCTAAAAAAATAGCTGGGGAATATCTTAATCAAATATTGGGTAGCGAAGCAGCAATTTGGTCAGAACAAATTGATGACACAACTTTAGACGCTAGATTTTGGCCAAGAGCTAGTGCTCTTGCTGAACGTTTATGGAGTGACCCAGATGAAAGTTGGAGAAAGGCTGAATCCCGTTTATTATTGAACCGAAAACGGCTAGTCGAAAATGGTATTCAAGCCGAAGCCATGCAACCACAATGGTGTTTACAAAACGAAGGAGAATGCCCTATTGTAAGAAATTAATTATTTGAAATAAATTTTTTTTGGATTTTCTAACATTTGTATTTTATTATTACAATGAAGAAATATCAGAGAAAACCTCGAGGCCAACTAGAATGTTGTTATTTAAAACGTTTATAAGATTAAGTTTAATTTTAAGATTTGAGCTTTTTTTTGTTGAAGATTTGACAATGCTAGAGTTTTTTCTAGATTCTCGAAATCATAAATTTTGATACATTGTATTCATTTTTCATTTGGTACTTCGAGTACGAAAAAGTTGAGATTAATTAAATTTGAAATATAAGCACTTATTTATAAAGGTATCGAAAAAGTTCCGATTTTTTACGCTGCTAATTCAACGTTATAACAACATAACGTTCGAAGCATATTCAATATTTTTTATTCACATTCCCAAATAGTTGAAGCTATCGATACAGTCATTTCCAAAAAGATGAATATTGTAACAATAACTTCCTTTCGAAAGTAACTCCGATAATGTAAAAAAAAAATTTTTTAATTTTTATTGAACATTCAAATAATAAAGTTGGGTCAAACCAATGGTTTGTAATGTAGCACTTTTCCCTTAAACAAGTGAAAATACTGCTTTTACATACAATCTATGTAAACCTAAAGCACTATTAAATTTATTTTCATTCATGAACGAAACTATTTCTAGGATTGCATATATTAAGGATGAACGATTTATGAAATCTTTGAAATAAAGTAAAAATTAATTTAAGGAGGAGTTAACATAATGCTCGATTTTAAGGATAATTAAGAATTGAGCTAAGAAAAATATTTATATATTTTAATGTAATAGAATTTACCGTTAGCTTTTTGCGTTTATAGAATTTTGAAAATACTTCCGGTTTTGAAAATATAAGGTGCCCAAAAGCAAGTTTTACAACTTTCGATGGGCGATAGCTAGAAAGGGGGTGGAGATAGAAAAAAATATTCCTCTAACGAAATGAACTATTTATCAGTGTCTAAAAACTGTTAAAATTTTAAACTACTGCAACTTTCTAGCCTAGAAAGTTGCAACAGTTTAAAATTTTTATGTCTAGAAAAACGACATCCAAAATTTGGGAAAAGCTGATTTGAAAGATGCTTACAGTTTCAATGCTATAAGTAGTTATAAATTCCATTTTAGGGTTTAAGGGTTGTATAACCTTCAGAGGAAGGGGAGGTAAAAATTTTGTTCTACGGGAATAAGTTTCTAGTAAAAATCTACGTACATATAAATTTTCAGCTTTCTATCTTCAAGGGTGTACAAATTTTGTAAACACGTCCACGGGCGGATGACGTACGGACATAGTGAAACTAATAAGCACTTTTTTCAAAAAATTTTTGAATTTTGTAAATGTATTTTGTAAGAAAAATGTATGAAAAATGCATTTTTCGAATGTTTTTAAATACATTTAACACGTTTTACTAGCAAAACTGTGAGAGGTACAAGAAAATGTTATATGGGTTAACTTTTATATCTCGTCGTAGCGCACCAAAAAAAATTTTTTTTTGAGAAATTTTCGAGTTTTGTAAAAAAAAAACAAAAAAAATAACAAAAATTTTTGAGAAATTTTTGTGAAAAAAAAACAAAAATTCTGACTCTCAAAAACGGTGGCTTAAATCAAATTAATTCTAAGACCAAAAATAAAGAACACACGATAAGTTTATGTTATCGTTCACTAATGATAAGTTGATGTTGTATAGTTCCGAAGTTATAAACACTTATTTATATGCAGGAAATATTACATACAATTTTTTGCTAAAAATTGATCAAAGAATCATGCTTGAAATTATTTGCCACCTTATGTGATTATATGTATGTATATTATGTAGGTGAGTACGTATAAATTACTTTTATTATTTCCAATCAACATACACCGACATTTCAATCTCTTTCTCTGAGAACAACTGAAAATGTTTTTACTTATAATAAAGCAACAGTAAATATAGTAGTCCAGGGGGCGATAAAACAATTTTCTTTCATATGTGGACCCTACATAGTAAATAATTTTTTATTTTTTGGTTTTTTTTATTTTCTATTCTCCTTTAAAGAAATTTTGGCAGTAACAATACAAAGAAACACTGGGACAGGAAATGAAACAAAGAAAATGAACGTTAAATTAACTTATCGGGAGAAATCAAAAGCAAAGGAGGAAACACAAAAATTTTGTTTCCTTTTTATACACTGCACTTCGTGAAGGGTATATTAACTTTGGTATGGAGTTTGTAACTACTTGAAGGAGTCATCTGCGGTATGGACATATATATATATTCTTGCTCGATTCGATTTAGACATGTCCGTCTGTCCATCCGTCCGTCCGTCCCTCCGTCCGATCGCACGATAACTCAAAAACGAATAATGCAATCGACACCAAACTTTCACAAGCTTTTTCTTTTGTGTCAAGGAAGAGCCCTATTGTTATTGGACTAATTCGGACAACGGGTTCGGGTAGCTGCCATACAACTTAAAGAGTTTATTTTAAATATTTCAAAAACTAATAAAGCTATAAATATAAAATTTTGTATACATGTGTCCAATTATATTCTACACATGCTCTAAAAATTATAATTGGATAGCTGCACCGGTTCGGGTGGCTGCCATACAATTCCAACAGCAAATTTTTTATATTCGGAAAAATAATAAAGTCAGATTCATGAAACTTGGCAGTCATGTGTCCAATTATAGGTCAAATATATTTCTGAAGTTTTAGAGGAATTTCTTGACAGGTTCGGGTACCTGCCATACAACTCCAGAAGCTAATTTTAAATATTGGGAAAATAATATAGTCAGATACATGAAACTTGGCAGTTGTGTGTCGAGTTATAGGCCAGATATATTTCTGAAGTTTTGGTGGAATTGCAACGAAAGGTGCAAGGTATAATTCAATCGGTTTATACCGACTGAAACGTTTTTACTTGTTTCTTTTTTATTTTTTTAAAATTTTATTATTATTTTTCCGAATTTATGATGAACTATCACTTGCAGTAATTTTTTCATATAAAGAAATAAAATAGTAAAAAAAATGGAGACCAAAAAATTGTAGTGAAAAAATTAAAGAGAAAAGAAAAATCGCATACACGTGTCTACTTATGTATATATATAATATATAAGTATGTGTGCTTGTAAAATAATTTTGTTATGTGCTAAAATACCATTTATAGTACCTTTGGCAATACAAAAAATTTTTCTGTATACGGAAAGAAAAAAAAAATGGTTTGTGTGCTTTTTGTTCAAAAATATTTTTCTCATGTTTCGTTTTCTATTTATTTTGATTGTTTTCACAGCCAATTGTTAAATGATTTAATTTGGTCAATCGTTAAATTGTTTAATCGAACTTGTTATTTCTTTTATACATCAATATTTCCAATGATACTTACCTATTGTTGCTATATTACTTAACTGTTAAATTAACCCGTTAAAAAAAAGTTTGTCATAATAGTATGTTGAAATTAAGAAATTGAAACATTCAGCCCCGCATTTTAAAACTGAGTTTTTTAAAAGCGAATTTAATTTAGTTTTACTTTGATTCATCAAGGCTTAACATAAACGTAGTATTTCACACTACTTACAAGCTACTATCTCATAAGTTTTACACTACAGAATTCGACACTGATCAAAAACATACAATTGAGTCTATATCTCAGACCATAATTTCTTACCGGTAAGGCAAATTTAGTATACTCTTCGAACATACGTTCGTACGGTTATAAAGAGTGGAATTAAACACTTATATATACTTAAATTTCATCATCAATATTTTCTTATTAGAATTGTATTTATTTTACAAAAATAAAAATTAATTACATTTCAGATTCTTTAAATTTGATGTTCCGAAAGTTTATTCACAAGTGCATAATTTTTATATTATGCATAATTTTCGTCACTTTTGGTTGCACTTTTCATAAAAGAGGCATTATTGCAACAAATTATGTCATTTTAGTTATTATAAAAATAGCTACAACTTTTGCTTTTAGAAATAGGCCATGCAACTGTGAGTTCTTCATTACGTCAGATCTAATTACATTCCATTCATCCAAGGGTCTCATTTATTGGAGCGATTATAATTCTAAATCGAGAAGGAGAAATTATATTTGCATTTGTGTTCTGTTAATTCTCTTTCGTTATTTTCACTTTTCTTCAAAAAAAAAGAAAAAAATCCACGAGCACGAGAATTGCGAATGAAAATTTGTTAGTTACTCGTACAACTAAAAACATGATTGTATTAAAATCCATGCACACATCCACACAAAAGTGTGTACTTATCGTGTATGAACGATTTTCCATACATCTTTCTTGTTATTTTTTCACTGTACAAATTACTTACTTTTTTATTTTTCGAAAAATAAAAAATTTATTTTTAAGTAAAGGAATATGAATAAAGAAAATTATTTTATATGAATGTGAAAATATAAAGAAAGAGAAGAAGAAGGATAAAAACAAGGATATGCTGTGTACTGTTATGACATGTATATAAATTGGATTTGAATTCTGCTCGTAATGGAGAAATAATGAGGTTCTAAAAAATAAATAATTTTTTTATAAAAAAAATTGGAAAATTATTATTTTTTTTTTATTTTTTGTTAGAATGTTGTATGAAAGTGGCAGTTCCAGAGATTTCAACTTGATGATTTTCGTATATTCGTAGTGTTATAGTGTTTATATACTATATGTTTATGTAAGTTTGAATTATTGTTAATGCACATATGTATGTATTTAGAAACTTGAACTTTAATTGGAAAATTAACAGTTGTATAAGTGCGATATGGGATATTTCTGTAAAAAGTAAAACTGGTTTTTCTGGTATCGTTCTCTTGCTCATTTACTCAAGATCGAGCCATATATCTATCTAGTTACACTTCAATGGGGACTCTTCAGGCCTTAAAGATAAACAAACAAATTATCAACTGCTTCAATAATTGTCGTAATTTATTTATATGTACAACAAAACGATTGTATAAGTGTATTTTCGAAATCATATTCAGGAGTTTAGGAAAAGAGATTTTATTTTTCAAACAAATAGTTATATTTAGACAAAAATCTTTTGTTATTA